ATATCGGGACCCCAGAAAAGTTTATTCTGCAGATAGAGCAAAGTAAACCTTTCTGGGGTAAAATGTTTCTCTCGCGGGTGTCAGGGAGCCGCTACCTTATAGCAGGAGACTTCCGGAACGTCCGGGAGAGTTGGGATGTCTGGTTTCCCATAGAAATCCTCCAGCTGCAGGCTTAAAGTGTATATCCAGTCCAAATTTATTTTCTTGAGTAGAGTGGGGGAGGATTAGAACCCCTGTCAGATTTGTGCTGCTATTTGGGGCTCCAATAGAGAGATTTCCCCTCATTTCCTGTCCTGCTGCTGGTGTTTTAACAAACAGGAAGTGAGGAGAAATCAGCAGCACAGGAATACAAATATTTTTCTTTGGTAGAGTGGGGGAAGGTGAGATCCCCCGGGGTCAGATTTTTTGGGTTAAGGTTTGAGGTTCCTGTTTGAGATTTTGTTACACTTCCTGTCTAATATAAGCATTGTCAGCAGGACAGGAAGTGATTATATATCTCTCTATTGGGGCACCAGATAGCAGTTAAAACCTCTCAGAAACTCCAATCCTTCTCACTCCATACAAAGCTGGATACAATGTTTTTGGCCTGACATCCCCTTTAAGGATGAAGTGATGTCTGATTGGTGGCTTGGGACAGTCGGTTTTGGTGACTCCAGGTTTGTGAGGACCCATGTGTGGTAGTGTGATGGTGTGCAGGGTGACAACAAAGTGTAACTGTCACATATAATTAAATTTCCCCAACAATCAGAGGAGACTGGACAGGACAAATGTACGTCATTATATCTTTGCTGAATACATTGATATTTAACAATTCCATTCCTTAGTTTCTCCCAAGTTATTATCCATCATGGCCCCGGACCGTGTCATCCATGATGAGCAGGTGACTCTGACCTGTCCAATCAACGTATTCAAACCGCGAGCTTTGACCATCACCTGGCTGAAGAAGGACCGGAACCAGCAAGAGACCGAACTGGTAACATGGACTCCTGCGGGCTCCACCACTCACAATGAGAAATATTCACACAATCTAAAGGGAGATGAACATGAGGATAAATCTTATAGTGTTCTCAGCGCTCTGACCATGAAAGCAACCGTGACAGACGATGACGGAGTGACCTATATCTGTAGAACCTTCCACCCTGCAACAAATCTCCGAGACCAAAGAGAGGAGACCATGAGAGTGACCGGTGAGTGATGCACCAAATTCATATACTTATC